GCGCACATGGAGGCATGTGCACAAGCACATTTGGAAGGATGTAAAGTGAATGCAGAAAGACCAATTCAAAGGCAATGAGGATAGTCCACCAGAGAGATAGTAGAAGCTGTGTCTACAGTGGTCACGATGAAAAAAAGATGAAAGAGCAGCCATCCTCAAAAGATACATAAAAATAAAAAAGCATTCGAGGATGGATTAGATGGTGAGCATGAAAGTGAGGGAGAAGTCAAGGATGATTCTAATGGTTTCTGGCTTGCACAGCTTTGGGACAGTGCCATTCACTGAGAGAGGACACCTGCACAGGTGGAATTACAGGCATGTATCATCATGCCTGACCCTTGTTTTTATTTTCATTACAAGCTTTGCCACTCAGGAAAACACTGAGCCATTTTTGTGAACTGGGAGTAGAAAATGTAAATCAACAAGCAATAATAATTAACCTTACATTTGAAACTTATTAATTATTAAAAAACTGTTTCATTGTTTTGCTTTTCCCTCAACATTACAAGGTTGCCCTAAAACAGCCCCAGGGATCACCAGTATGAGCCACACACCATTCTCAAAAAACATGCATATTCAAGTTATAGAAATAGCCAAGATGCCCCACTACTGACGAATGGATCAAGAAAATGTGGTATCTATACACAATGGAATTTTATGCAGCCACGAAAAAGAACGAAATGTTATCATTCACTGGTAAATGGATGGAATTGGAGAACATCATTCTGAGTGAGGTTAGCCTGGCCACAAAGACCAAAAAATCGTATGTTCCTCATATATGCGGACATTAGATCAAGGGCAAACACAACAAGGGGATTGAACTTTGATCACAAGATAAAAGAGAGAGCACACAAGGGAGATATGAGGATAGGTAAGACACCTAAATATTAGTTAGCATTTGTTGCCCTCAATGCGAGAAACTAAAAGCAATACCTTAAAAGCAACTGAGGCCAATAGGGAGAAGGGGACCAGGAACTAGAGAAAAGGTTAGATCAAGAAGAATTAACCTAGAAGGTAACACAATGCACAGGAAATTGAATGTGAGAATTCCCGGTTATAAGCTTATCTTTATCTAAACTAGCAAAACACTTGTTACCTTCCCTATTATTGCTTGTAACTCTACTCTTCAACAAAATTAGAGATAAGGGAACAGAGTTTCTGCTGGGTATCGATGGGTGTGGGGGGGAGAGGGATGGGGTGGTATGGGTGTAATGGGAGGGGTGGGGCAGGGGGGGAGAATTGACCAAAGATTGTATGCACATATGAATAACCAAAAAAAAAAAAAAGTAATCACGAGAAAAAGTGGGTGTTGAAAAGTGACATTGTACACTCATCTCTCAAGTTCAAAATTTGGTAGAGTCAATGTAATTTCTATATGGAATAAAGTTCTGTGGAAGTCAAGGTTTAGAAGAAGACTCATAGAATCAGGCTTCATGATTCATTGAGATTGAATTTAGGAAATATGATACTTTCTTTGCTTTGGAACGTTCCAAGTCACTCCTTGTGAGGGAGTCCCTCTGTTAAACTATTAAACATATTGAAGCAGGGGTATTACTACCAAGCTAGGAAGAGGAGGCAGCATTTTGAGCCCAGAGTTAAACCCTTAAGTGTCCTTCCTCAGCATTCAGACTACTGATCTCTGTTGGCACCGTTTAGTGTCAGTGTGGCTCTCAATGCTTGGATTTTTTGCTTTTATTTTTTATTTTTTTAATACAAAACTTTTTTATATATTGTTTTTTCTTTTTTCCTTTTTTTTTTTATTTTGTTTTGTCTTATCTTTATTTTTTTTTATTTTATTATTTTTTTTTTTTTTTTTTTTATATTTTATCTTAAAATGGTAGGTAAGTTTTTAATAAATTTTTTTAGTTTTTTTTTCTTTTGTCTTGTCCTTTTGCTATTTGTTTTTTTTTTTTTTTTTCGTTTTTTTTTTTTTTTTTTGGGTTTTTCTTTTTTTCATATCTGTATCCTTCTAATGTTTATGATCATTTTAACTTTGTGTCTAATAGTGTGCTTTTCTGAACTATTTCAAAGCATTTTTTGTACATTTATGAGTGTTTATTCTTCACTCTTGAATTATTGTTTTGAAAATCACAATTTCTCCTTGCAATTAAAAAAAAAACCTAAAAAACATGCATATTAGATGAGTGAGACTAATGCTTCAAAAAAAGTAGGAATAAATGTAGAATCTACCTCAATACTGAACAGAACTATGAATATCCATCAAATTGAAATACATTAATTTAAAATATGTGGTACAAATAATAGCATGTTATGTGAATAATTTTGAAGATAGGTAACAATTCCAAAAACCAAACTGTTTTTAGAACTTTATATTTTAGCAGTTTTAAACAGTTGGCATCTCAAATTTAGATTCTTATTATTGATGTTGGCAAAGGAAGGCAGTAATTCCTATACATATAATACGTGTATAAGAGGATAAGAGGGGGACCAGCTTAAATTCAGATTATACCAGAAAAAGACTTAGCCAAACACTTCTGAAGATGAGATTAAAATGCATTCTTAGTATCCTTATCAGTTCCTGCCTTTTAGGCACACCTAAGATAATGAGGCATATTTTACCATTTTTTAAGTACCTTTTGGACAAAACTGGCAATGCTAAGGAAAACAGAATGCATTTCATTTCACTACCTACTTTTCAAGATATGACTGGCTGGAAGATGCTACTAACCAAATGGGTAAGGCCAAACATGGAATGTTCTATAATAATGAGAACTAATCAAACCATGATCTGTTTTCTTCTCCCAAAACTTTTAAGAGAAAGCAAATCTATGAATATAAATGCAAATTATTTAAACAATAACAACATATACATGGTGTACTAGTTACATTTAATGAACCTTATCTTTGCATTTATTTTGTACCTTTCTTTATATATCTGTTTGGAAAAGCAACCCTTATCAGCAAAGACTGGTAACATCTTTAACAAACATCAAAAGGCAAATCTCTTAGCTACCCAGATAAACAAAGCAACATTCAGTTTCATGTTCACATATTTCAATACACAAACTGTGGTTACAGGGTTTTCTCTGGGCCCTTTGGGACAGAGCACAGGTTACAATTTATCAGGGTAATCAAATGCTTATTCTAGGAAAAGTAGAAAAGCAAGGTTGGCTATGGACAGGAACCCTCAGTTCAGTTAGGCAGGGTGTGTGTTTAAGACTCCTCTTTTTTGGGGAGCTGGCACTCAGGTTTGAACTCAGGGCCCTCATGCTTGCTAGGCAGGTGTTCTATCAAGTGACAGAGTCATTCCACCAACCAAGGTTATGGGTTTTAAAGTGTTCTAGCACATGAGTGAGTAAAATTCTGTCTCACTGTGGCTCCAGCCCCATAAAAAATAATGGGCATCTTTGGATAATTCATCAGCTCGGGGAGAATGTCTTTTAGTTATAGTGTCACACAAATGCATCATGATTAGCTAAAAGACTGATACTGGAGGGAGTTTCTCCCAAAAGAAATCCATATTATCTTATATTCACAGGAAAAGAAGAATCCAGAAAACATTTCATGTTCTCACTAAGCAGAAATATCAATGCTATGAATAGTTTTGTTAGTCCTCAAATTTAAAGGGAATCTTATATAAGCACAGAGATAGATCTGTAAGGAGAAATAAACAAAAACATACTGAGTTACCTGGCACTGAGCCAAGAGGGAAGAAAGTTCTGATATCACAAACACAAATTTTTTTTTTTAAGATCTAAAGCAGTCATTTTTAATGATTAAGCTTATCAAATAAATTAAAAGCACTTAATAGAAATTATGCTGCTTATACAGTTTTGCATTTTTAGTCTTGCTACTAGGGTATTATTGAGATGTAAATTCTAATGAAAATTTCACTATGCAAATTCATTTTTTTTCTTCTACATTTTCTTACCATAATCAGGTTAACTCAAGATTTTTTTCCCTCATTTTTTAAACTGTTGTGTCTTATTTTGCATAATATGTCAGTTAATTTCAATTAGCTAGAACTTGTTTAATAGAATAATTTTTTTAAATTATTCATTTATTCACATGTGCATACATTGTTGGGGTCATTTCTCCCCCATTCCCCTCCCCTCCCTCTCCCCCTCCCCCCTCACATCCAGGCAGATCCCTGTTCTGCCCTTATCACTAATTTTGTTGAAGAAAAGACATAAGCATAAAAAGGAAGACAAAGCATTTTTGCTAGTTGAGTTAAGGATAGCTATACAGAAATATAAAATTTTAATGTAATGTTAGAATTGTGGCAAGTATAGTCAAACATACCAGACTAAAATTTTTCTTATGAGATTCTCATTTATGTCACATTTACATATGTGATTATGATCTGGTTACATTCTAATAAAATCATAATGTATATTACTTCACTATATACACTTAGCATATGTGACTTAAATGCTAAATTACTTGCTTCATTTTTAAAGTACTAAAAATGTGTATCTCAGAAGTTTTTCCCATTGAAGTAATTAATGCAGTAACAAGAAATGATTTTGATTTACCAAGACAATCCCCATCCTAACTGCTTTTCTCCCCATGCTGTTTTATTCTTCTCCCTTACAAGAAATATTTACTGTGAGCTATCTTGTGAAAGAAGGACAAAGAGCCAACTGAAGAAAACCTACATGTGGACAATATTAACTCATAACTAGATTTTTAACTAAAAAGAATCCTATGTACTTAAAATGATGCAATACTTTATTCTACTGAATTGATAGACAAATTCCTTTCATATGGTGCATACATCCTGATAAAATCTACGCAAATATTCCAAAATCAGAAATTCCAAATCTGAAACAGTTCTGGTCCCAAGCATTTTGGGTAAAAGATACTAAACCTAAAGTTGACATTCTTCAAACAACTTCTTCATTAGTCATAAACATTACATGTTATTTCATGTCTTTTCTTTATATATTGATAAAATGTAGCATTGTACCTAATAAATTCAGATGACTGCCTTTGTAGAACATTACATAGTAACAATAAACTCACACTTAAATTACTTATTAATTAAATACCTTTTGTAGACTGGTAGGATTTAGCTGAGTTTTGTCTATTATTTTCACAGCAACCTAAAAAAAAGAGAACCGTTATTTGAGGTACATATTCCAATGAATAAAAACTTAACCAAGAAAGCATCTTTTGTTCCATTCCTGATCATGTACTATTGAGATCTACTGAAGTGCTCCCACGAGTGGCAGGTAAAATTTGGGTAATTTGGCAGCCTTACAGCACACTCAATTGACCCGTCTTTAACCTATCTGATTCTGTGTCAGTGAAATGAAGCCTTTGCTATTTCTTCAAAATTTCCTCTTTTAATATAAAAAATAATTCTGTATTTTACTCATGATCTTGATAAGCAACAAATGTAAGGAAGAATGCATTCTAAACTTGCAGTTCATGTGAATAAAATGTGCAGGTAGAAATTGGATACCCAAGCTTACTTATAACAAACTAACAAAAGGTATTTTAATATTCTTGAAGGCTCTTACTAGTGTAGTCTGTGACTGAACAGTTCCTGGGGGCAGTGAGGGGGGCAGAATGGATAGAAAGGGCTAAATGATAATAATAATACATACAGAACAAGTGAAAACTTATTAAAAGATGTTTTTATGGTTGAGATTATTAAAAAATAATGTACTAATCAGATCCTAGTACAAAATGTTGGATATTTATGTCTTTAACTACAATGTACAAACATAAATTTACAATGCACATATGCGCAAATATATAAATTTTTACTATGTAAATACAATTGTTTAAAACACACAAGATACACAGGAGGCAGAGATGGAAGTATATGCTCCATTCATATCTGTGCCTACTAGGTTGCAACCACCATTTATTCCATAAGGAAACTTACCACAAAATTCTGGAGGGGTCAAGGCAAATATTAAAACACTTACCTCTCTACCAGTTAGAACATGTCTAGCCAATTTCACTTTGGCAAAGTTTCCCTTTCCTATAGTTTTTTGTAAGCGGTAATTTCCAATGTGAGGCTGTTCATCTGTTGCTGACGTCATGGAGTTTCTACTCCGGGGGATGTTCTGTCTGCTGCTTGATTTGGTAGGCTGAATGTGTGCTTCAGTGTATCCATCCACAGATGTGTGCTAAGAAACAGGTTACAAGATTTCACGGTTAATCATGTTCAAGCAGACATTATCAGTTCATCTTCAGTGCTTCTTGGCACTACAATTTAAAAATTTCAGCACTCTATAATTTCTCCTTAATTTTAACTCCCTTTACCAGGGGGTACAACACAGAAAATGAAATGTTCTCCATAGTTTTATGCTTTTAAAATGTAAATGGGTAATTAGGTGGATACTCCAGACATCACTAATCTGAAAGGGTATTACCCTTTCAGATTGAGTGACAGGGTAGTCCAGGATTGCTTCTTCAGAAGAACAGAATGTCTTTACCGCCAAGACAAAAAAACCTCATAAGTGTTGTTCATTTCTCTAAGCTAGCCTAGCCACTTGGGCTGATCACTTTATGTTCTCCTATATTTGCTGGGCATATAAATGCACCAAGTGACAAACCTGCTTCAAGTATACCTCTAATCAATTCCTGCCCAACCAATGGTCATGTGAGAGGGATATACAGCATTCCACCTCATTCCTACTTAGCGCTGTTCTTGAGGCAAAGGAATGCCTTTCTCTGGTAGTCTCACACTAGCCTACAATCGCACCTGATGTTGGAGCCTGTTCACTCGTGGGCTCAGCCCCTGCACTCTTTTGGTCCAGCTGCCTTATCAGCTCCTACTCCTCTTGCTCTAACTGCTCCCGCTTCCGTCTTGTTTTGTATGCATTCCACCACACATAAAATCTCTAGTAGTTTTTCTTTTAAAATGGAATAATACATAGTAAACATAACATAGCTGTTTACAAACATTCTCTGGCTTCGTTAAAAATAGCAGAAGATGAGCTGTAGGTGTGGCTCAAGTGTTAGAGTGTCTGCCTACCAAGCACAATACCCTGAGTTCAAACCCCAGTACCACCAAATTAACTAATTAAATAATTAAAAATTGAAGACAAGTAGAATAAATTAGCAAAAGAAGGGACATCTTTCATTTGCAAAGTAATTCAGTCTCATGTCCTAACCTATACGAGCAAAAGTCTATCTAAAATAGTTTGGTCAGAAATTAAAGATGAATGAACCTATTTACCAGTTATATGCAAAGCTTGATTCATGTTCATTTGTATTTATTACTTCTGGTATATAATTTTTTTTACTTTGTTTTAATTCAGCTTAGGATTAAGTGTTTTCTCTGGATCTTGGCCTCACTATGAATTAGATGCACTTTTTGGTGTATTCTCAGAACAACCTGCACTGCCATTTAATGTGGCCTCCACTCCATTGTTATTATCATTGTGCACTTACTTGTCTGTCATTAGCCCTGTACCATGAATAATTTTAGGGAAAGGATGTTTTCTTTTCATTTTTATATGCTCACCACATTGCAGAGTGACAGGTACATAGGAAAGTTTCAATAAATCAATAGTTCTCAAAGTATTATCCCTGAACCAGCATCATCCGGAAACTTGTCAGAAATGCAAATTCCTCAATCCTGCTCCAGATTTAGTGGCTAAGAAACTTTGTGGGTAGGATGCAGCAATCTGTTTTAGCAAGATATCCAGGTAATTCTGGTGCAGGTCAAAGTTTGAGAGCTATGCAATCAATAATGTAAGAAGGAGGTAAATATGAAGCTGTTCACTGACTCTTGGAGGTTTCTATTGTCTGGGTAACAAGAGATTTACATTTTAGTTAGTTTCTAAGAGTTAACAGACTGCTATGATATTTTCCACAAACAATCCTTTTCTATCTGAACTTGCTCTAAGAGAGCTGACTTGTCATTTTCAAGATTTAATATGAATGTCTCCTCTTCCTAAAAAGCTTTCAATGTCTTTTCACAAAGCACAGTTGATTATTCCTCTCTTCTGTTACTACCTTTATCTCCAGTAAATACTTCTATTATTGGACTGCCACACAACTTTCTAAATATTTGTCCAAGGTCCATTTTTGCAGGAAATCTAAAGCTCATGAAGCCCCATATTAACTAGACACCAAAAAGCCCCCTCAATCTGAGCATATTAACTGAATTGAAGAGGTTTAAGAGCCTCATACTCTTGGCACCCTTACAGAATGACTTCTGAGGAATGATTCCTTGCTATTCAGATCTATAATGTGTACAGCAGCAGTATGAGTTAAGGTAATTGAGATGTAACCTGCTCCTAATGCTGGTTGTAGGTTAAATCCTGATACTAAACTAACCTGTGACAGACTGCATTATTAGTTACAAATCTCTACACCTTTTGCCAGGTTACAACTTTTCAGTGCTCTGCTATGTGGGTAGGGCACAGCTCACCACTCTTTGGGTTTGTCATGCGTCTGAGTTGGAAGTAACACTGTGCAAGACACAAGCAAGTCTTCAAGAGACTTTGCTATGTTTTAGCTTGCTGTCACCACCTACACAAGAACTTTTCCAGGATACCAGGAGGAGGAGCCCACATTAAATAACCTGACTCCCAGCTAGCCCTCTGACTTACGAGAAATAATAAATGGCTATTGATTTAGGGCACTAAGCATTGGGATATTTGTTATGCAGCAATGTCACCTAATACGTAAATGTACTGTTATTTTTAATTAATTAATTTTTTCAGTGCTGGGGGCCGAAACCAGGAACTTGAGTGTACTAGGCAAGTGCTTGCTCTACCAATGAGCTATCTGCCTAGCTTCTATTACTATTTTTAAATTACAAAGTAAATTTAAGGGAAATACTTATGAAAACTTGGGGAAAAAAAGAGGCATGTATATAATGAATTCCCTAAGAAGAAACCCTTCATTATAAGTAAGCTGTAAAGGGGCAGAACCCTTGGCTATTTTGAATCCTTAGCACCAAGTAGTGTAATAGAGGGATGAGCAAAAGATTTTGGAGAATATACTACCCATGGACTCAAGAACTGTATTTGGTCAATCCCAAATGTAATGTATAACATTTGGGGAAGCAGGATTTAGTTGTTTCAAGTTGATTTTTTATTTAAAAATATCCAGCTCTCAACATTAAATATGGTTCTTATATGAATTATCCAACTTATACAGAAACAATTATATGAGTCTCAAAGGACAAATCATAATATACAGCACATATTTTATACTATATAGTTGTAACTATAAGACATTCATTGAAACAAAACATTTCAAAACATTTTCTCTTTCCTTAGGATTGCCACAGCAATAAGGGTAAGGGGAGAGGTCTGGGCTAGAAATATTAATCTGCAGTAATTCTTTGGTAAAAGAAGCATTTCATACTCAGTTTCCCTTAGATACATCTAAGTTGTAAAAATTAAATTACTTTAATTTATGCTCTTTTCTTTGATGTATGTGTACTCAAACAACAAAACCCTACCTAATCTTGTTCCTTCTAACATTGTTTTAAGTTGAAGGTACTGAGTATCTAACAAGATGGCAAACCAAACACATACCAGAGGATAAAGAAATCTTTTAATTCTCAAAATAGAGTCAGATTTTCTATTTTGTGAAGATTACTGGCCACACTTGAAATGATGATACTGCCCAAAAGAAACAGTAACAAGAGAAAGAAAATACTGCAAAATATACAAGAGTGAATAGACATGGCTCATCAGCCTCTACTGTGGTGCAATCACACCAATTACATGAAGTCACATCAAAAGTTATTCAAATATCGAATGTAAGCTGTGACGTTTTATGACAGCCATTAGAGTATCTGCTTAGTGACTGAATATTCAAGTGCTCCTGAAGAGGGAGACTGCCTGGTATCAGACCTGAAAGTAGGGCTGTCACAGCTCTGCCCCCAGGACTCGACAATATACCAATTTTGCCCCACCTCAGCCACTCTTTAGTCAAATGACATCAACACCAATACAGCCCCTGGCAACTTAGAAACAATAACAAATCTTTCATTTTTCAAAGTTATTTTAGTAAGAGTACAGAAGTTCTGCTTCAATAACAGATGAATGCCTTGTATCTGACTAAAACCCCAGAGCAGATAAAAATATATAATCTCTAAACAAAACACTTAAAAACAATTCTTTGAAGGCCCTGAAAAGCCACAGATAGCAGGCAAAATCTGGAAAGAAGTTGAGGATGTAAGAACGGAAATTTTACAGGGTAAAATTGTTTTCTGAGACAGGGTCTTGCAATGTAGCTGAGGGTACCCTCAAACTTCTGATTCTCCTGCCTCAGCTTTCTGAGTATCGGATTACCAATGTGTACACCATGCCCAGTAAAAATGCATTTTTTACAGTTTCCATCCTGGGGCAAACCACGGTCCACCTAGTTCCAAATAACTTCAATTCAAGCAGAAACCAACAGTTTTACTAGCTAAAGGAGTCTGGGGCTGGAGCTGAAGACTCACAGTGGTTGGAAAGTGAGAGAAAATCTTAAGAAAAATAAGTCACAAACAACTGTATTTTTTGTACCAATTACAAGTGTCCTGAACTTCTGAAGCAGATACAATCAACAGAACCTCCAAGACACATGTCAAAAGGAGACATGTTAAAAGGTTAAGGAGAAAAATGGAGGAAATTCAGGCTGCTGCACACTACCCAGGAAACTGAACTTGAAGTGTGAGAAAAAGTTTGAAACAGCAAATGCAACTTAAAAATTTTCATCCAATGAAAACAGTCCTTACAAAAGCAAGAAAAACAAAGACAATTTTAGGGAAACAAGAACTAAAAGAATTTGTTGCCAGCATACATACACTGTAAGAAATACTAAAAAAAAGTGACAGTCAGGGTAAACAAAATCTATACAAAGGAATAAAGAGCTATAGATACAGCAAATATGTGGGTAAATACAAAAGAGTACATAGTTTCCCCCACCTCTCAATTTGCTTAAAAGATACTTACCCATGAAAGAAAAGCATTTTAACACCCCACATTGAACTCAAAAAAAGTACTGTATGTGAAAACAAATGTACAGATTCTGTAATGTTATCCTCTTAATAAATGGAAAAGATGTACAATCCAAGGGATAGGTAAAAGTAAGAAAAATTTAAAATGGAAGCACAAGAAAATGTTTGTTAACTCAACAACAGCATAGAAGTGATCAATACAGATAAACAAAGAAA